GCCATTCCAATCACTGGGACTGTAGCCAACGTGGAGATCCTGGAAACGAATGCTATCAGACACATTTTGCGTTGGGTCACAACGGTCGATGAAGAGAAGACGGGTCTGCATGCCTCTGTTTACTTCCGTTTACATCTTCGCCTGGAACTAGAAATCGCCGCAGTGAGTTTTAGAGTCATAAGTAAATGGCCGGTATTGTTTTACCTGTGTGATGCGACCCGAATACAGTGTTAAACAGCTCGTAGACCAGTTGAGTACTGTGATGGACCTACAGAAGTCACTGAAATCAGCACGCACGGTATTCTTCAAAAACCTCATGTGATAGCGTTCGCAGTCGTTGACGTGCTCTGTTTATAAAAGCTGAATTAGAAGCGTGCGTCACACACGTCAACCAGCTAATCGATGCGTCACATTACGACTTCATCGTCCATGGCTTAAAAGCACAGAGATAAACAACGTCCCGATGGAAATATTAAATTGAACTCATGAAATCTGTTGCGGCTTCAGCTTACTGAGCAATCTCTGCTGGTTTTCCCAGATAGATGTTGAACAAAAACCGCTGCTGTACTCTCGAGCCTACCATGCATAAAGCAGTTATTTCTTATATGCACATCTCTCCATAAAACTTCACTAAACTTTCATAAGTTCATGATGTATTAAAGTGATCTCAAGGCGAATAAGCAATTACGTCGCGAACCTGGAATTATTTGGGGTGTATCTCAGGTGGATCAACTTGTAGAATAACAAGCCAAGTCCATCTTCCCGTAGGTTATACGTCAGTTATGGGTGAATGGATTAAGCTTGGTTTGATTAGCCATTTAAGACGAATACTTGATTACATCCTATTGTCGGGCTTTGGAGCACCTGCCTGCTAGTCAACTTCTAGACGTGGAGCCAAACACTGTAGCGCGGAGCTCACCATTTTAGTATGGTCATGGCGATGGCGGGCAACCACGACTTGTGAAGTCTCTCGGGCACATTCCTCGTTCAGCTGTCTCAACTGGAAGAGTGAATCCTATCACGAACCCTGTAGCAGATGTAGGCCCATGAGAATGCCAATAGTTTAGAACAAAATCCGTTGCGGCATATAAGGAAAACATTATCAAGCTGATTTATATCAATCACATTCAGGCCAGACCAGCGTCCAAATTCTGTATCTTGGGGTACCTATCGCAACAATGCTACCTTGTACACACAAACTGCAACCATTTGCAATATCCTCTCCCTCACTCATTTTGAATGAACCCTCAGGATTTTGGCCTATGTCTTTGTAGTAAGCAACCAATTCGGTAGCTCAGCGCTCAGTATCTTTGGTGGTCCTTCACTGTTGCACAGTTTGCGCAGCCTGGTGCACATGACATGGCGCCAGTTAATGAAAAGAACGTCGAGGCATGACCAGTGAAACACAACCCGATCGCCATTAATGGTATGAACAACAGACCAATTCACGATGAATAATTCATTAGATCAACCTTTCTTCCTCTCGTATTGTGGGGTACCAAGTCTGCATAAAAGCTTTGCGGATCAGTAACGGCGTTGTTCAGTCCGTAAGGAGACTTGCTCTACACATCCGCAAGTGGCGTGTGTGGGTGTGTAGGTAGGGACTGAGTAAAGCGACTCCCTTGAGCCGGTGCATCGATGCATAAACAATCGGGCGTGGTGGGTGTTGACAAAGCTCCTTTTCAGTCAGTTAGTGCGCATTTTGCAATCAAGGCCTATTTGTAAATAAACTGAGCAAAGTCGGGTTGGTTTTATGTAGACAGCTACGAAGTGTACATATGAGGCCAACAGAACCGACATGCAAACTAATGGCGGTTATACGACAAAATAAAATCAACGCAGCAAAGATGGTGATCAGAAGGCATGGGAGGGAAGCACCGAGCTGAGTATTGAATCAAAATTCAACCTGAAACCTGAAACCTGTATTGGGAATGAAACCTTCGGGGTAAGTAAACTGGACGCATGGGGAAGGTTGTGCGTAGAAAGCGCGTGCCACAATTCAACGACGCCACGTGCAGTCTTACCTAAATAAATGCCCTGGCGCTACATGCTAGAGGATCGTGAAGATGGAGCATCAAAATCACCCACCTACAGTAGCAACGACATAGTTAGAGGAGCAATAAAATACGGGTATGATCGTGTAACCCTACATGACTGCAGACTTCCGTTTTTCTCTGGTGGCTCTCTGATGTTCATTGTAACGTATCACTCCGTCATCCCTACTGATCATTTGGAGTCGTTAGTTTGCCTGCAAGTCGTAGCCCCACTCTGAAGTTAACAACCACACTTTTCATTCGTCGTGTTCACCTGATTCGTTCCTTATTTGTTCAACCTTTATTGATATTAGACGTCCTCAGGCTTTCCGTACTCTGGTTGGCTTACACGCTTATGTGTCATGCTATTTAAATAAGTGGTTTCCCAAGCAGAAAGAACTATGGCATCCTCTTCCCTGGTCATTTATGTTCTCACTACCGTTATTGGGTGGAAGCAGTCGTGGAGTGCTGACACAACAGACATTGGTCTGTACCATAAGTGCAACCATAGAACCCAAACACATGATCAGCACTTATGTGCACTGCGAAGACATCTCTGTCACTGCAACATTAGCACAGCCGGTTTCGGGGTACATTCGAAGCCAGACGATGTTCTGTGTTGTAAACAAGGAACAAAATAACTATAACCATTAAGTATTGAGTCCTACCGACCTCAGCATGTATCTGACCGATAGTCTCTCACCGAGTTAGCATCTACAGACAACCGCGTTAACTTGGTTTCAGCTCGAAATTGCTCAAAGCGAGAAGGAACGTTGACACTTTCGAACATATCGACTAAATAAACGCTGAGACGGCGATGCAAACAACAGCCGAGTATTCAATTTCCGGTGGCCCCCGACGTTCCATCTGAAGGGAAGAACAATCTTCTTAGTGTAGTGATCCACTGTGAAATACCCAGAAGCGCATTCACTTCCTGAAGTGAAGATCATTGGTTCTCCTCGAACAAATGGAATATCGCTCGAATTAGATTGGCCCAAAGCTGGACTATTAAGACAAAGAACGAAATCACAGATCACGATTCGCCGAAGGGATAACCAGGGTTCCCTACAAAGTATCTGTATGAACCGGGTGTCACAGTAACAGCTGGCCCTGAGTCCAGTTTGAAACATTGGCGTGAAAACGTTTTCCTTACTCGATTCTAGCCCAAAGTACAGCTCTGCAGTGACGTGTTTATTCGATCGATATTATTTGCACTTTTATAAAAGTAGCTTTGCGTACACGGAGTTCACATGACACATGTTAAGACCTCGGCATTGACGAGGGTATACCAACTGAGCGGTCTCTAGGGCGTATTTATATTGAGCTCTAAGAGTACTATCTATAACCGAGTGATTACAGTGCAGCTGACAAGAATACTCTTTGGTCAGCTAGTCAAAGCGTATTTACGCTTAATATGTACAAAAATTTCACACCGTTAACATGATGGTGGGGATTGCGAGTGGTTGCTTGAATGTACAGGTAAAACTGGGAATTGGGAATAGGAATATTGTACAGTTGGTCGAAGCCCACCATTTCATTCTTTCGGACATCCGTCGGTTAACACGACTGGAAAATTAATGTGATGATTAGTTTGAGGAAGCTGAAATCTACGATAGATTTGTACACTGAAAACGCGAACTCGTGGCTCTAACAGAGAATCTGTTTGATGGCCATCGGATCATTGACGCAGTCCCCATCGTTTGCAGCGGGGTGATGCGGGTCCAACTTGGTGCCTGAGGTGAGCCCTCGCGTAGCATCTATCAAGTCGCAGGTGCGTTCAAGTGTTTTTCTAATCCGAAGTGCGGTGAGGCGCGAATCAGGATCGGGAGCCCAGCATTCAGGAAGTAAGGTGGCGAAGTGGGACAAAACCATGCGAATCAAATCTGTCAATAGTATTTTGGTGCTATTGTCCGCATATGCGACAGTGGTTGTGTTGGACCCAGTAGGTGCGTCCCTTAGAGAAGAGGCACCGGAAGAAGACTCTACTGAAGTGCTTTTGAGTACGGCATCTGTAAGATTTGAACAAAGTGTGGGCAATCAAAACAATGGAACATTTATAAATCATGCAAAATCTCAAAAGCACAACGAAATTTTGCAGTTGAAAAAGCTGCAAACGCAATGATATCGTCAGATCGGTCATCGAAGAGATGTTAATTACAATAGAAGGATACTGCAGAAAAGGTAAAAATCAAGCCGGGGATTTTGTGGACCCAAACACTACAACAATTCCCACCATACTTTGTGACACTTTGAACAAGCTGAGAATGCGCCCTATGAATGCGGCCATTGAAGTGCGCAGACACCATGAGAAGCCGTATTACAATCCTAGGAGGAAGGAGTATTTTAAACTGATGCTATAGAATATCGTGCAAACCCCACAGGGTGTCTGTACGATATGCGCTGATGCGCAAGTGTGAGGTTTCCTAGAGTGGACTGCTATTTTAAGTCGTACGACAGTTTGCTAATATCCGTACGGAAGCAACATGATTGTATCCTGATAAAATCAAATTGAAAGCCCATATTGGGTACGAAGCGTATGATACTGAGGTCACTTGTGACTTGTTTCAGTTTAACGCGTTGAGTATAACCATGGTAGCCGAAATAAATTCAGTTAGGGTGATGGCATAAACCTTGGCAGAAATACACGACACCTCGACGGGAGACGAAAACATCATTTCAACCCGGAATCGCAACCTGGAATAATAGGAGAGAGTGGTTACTCTGCCTACAGAGAACAACTACAAACTCAATGTCATCGAGACTTGCATGTCAATGCTTGCGCACGTTTCTCGTTGTCAAATGACTCAGTGCATAAGCATTAACGGCTGCCACAGCAGCAGACACAAGACGTTTGGACGTGTGTAGAATGTCGTATTTGAGAGCGAGGGTACATGGCGGTGGCAAGAGTGCACACAGAGAGCTGGCAGACGACCGGACCGATTCTCGGTTTATTGTCGTGCGTCACGCAAAGCACTCGTTTGACTCATGTAGTGGACACCCAGCAACGGTTCACCTATATTCGTAGAACAACTGTTCCAGTAATTAAAACGCTAGATAAACAAACAAAGGAGCTGAGGTTGGGCAATCAGGAAACAGGAAGGTATGCGACGCGGTTTTCGTGTTGAAATTACTGCTAAGCGGCATAGATGAAGGGGAATAAAGCTACTTTCATGTCTAATAGTCATGGAGATACACGTGTGCTGAGCGAAAAACGACACCTCAGAGTAATTGTGGCAGAGACGGAGTCAAGAGAAGGCTGGGACGGAGGGAGCGGCAGTGCGATAAATAAACAAACAAGGGAACAGACAGGAAGTTGGAATTGTTAACCAGTGAACAAAGGATGGTTTGGTATGTTTGGAAAAATGTCCATTAGATACATGAACGAATTACTTTGGATATTCGTCCATGCGCGGCGGTTTACTTCGCAATAGCATCAGTAACCAACAACGAATAAATAAGATAAGTTGATAAGCCCTGCCTCACCAAAGTAGTCGCGTTCAAGCAAAACCAACCACCAGTAAATACACAGCACAGTGCCAACTAACACAGCATGAAATCAGCAAACATGCGGCAGTAATTTACACATCCTGGATATTTCATCAGCGACAAGGTCGTACCGATTTCAACGTCAGTTGAGGACCATAATTTACAACCGTCCAGTAGGTGCCGTAGATGGTTCCGGATCCGGATCCTGGATCCGGATTTTTCTGTCACTGTGGCATTCACAGGAAGAGCCACAGGAGACCTGCGCCTACAGAAGGACAATAGATGGCTTGAGCTGCACCACCCTAGCTCCATCCACACACCCCATATCTAGTGTAAATCCGAGGTAATAAGACCAGGAGGCATGTGGATGGGAGCCACATCATCAACGGAGCCGGCCAACACTCCTCCAAGCTGCACAGCAGCAGCATTCCTGTCTATCTACGTAGGGAATCATGCGTACCAGACGTACACAGGGCAGTGGTTTGGCCGTAGTCCGCCCCACACTGGACGGAACCACTCTGAGCTCAGCACGGCCAGGAGGATCGTGCACACCCACAGCAACTTCTCACAGTCTCCTGGAGCCAGTAATCAAGGGGGAGGTTGTTAGACAGCTACGCGCCTTGTGAACATTCACATCAAGTGTAGCCACACCGGGGATATCAAAAAACCAACAGAATTTAATCGAAAGTAAATACGCGAAATTGACACAGAATTTGTAGCAGCATAACGGACTTGAAACAACCAAATAAAGAGAATGACTTTTATCCGTATTAGAAATACCTAGCTTAAGTGCAACTTTATTTATCCCAACCGCGGTGAAGAAGAATCATGAATGCAACATCAACCTCAACATGACGCACTGACATGTGGTTGCCGGCATCCTTAGATACGATCAACCATAACCACTTATGTAAGGTATGGCTAACAGAGCTACCGTGGCAAAAGTAGACTCCAGCAAACATAGCATAATAATGAGGGATAAGGGGAAAGAAGAATGCACAAAGTAAACAGTAGAGGAGGTAGCAGACAAAGTACGTCATCGGACTACGGGAGTAGAAGTTTCAACCAGAGGGTAAACTGAAAACACGCAACGGAGTCACAGATCTTGCTATCCCATATATCCACTAGCGTGGTACCTGCAGCACCGACTATCAGGAAATTGTCGAACACCAAGTTGGTGGTTATTTCCGTTCGTTTCTTCACGCACAGTTATAGGTCGCCTTATAGTGGCAAGATCAGATCATCAGACCACGCTGTCACTAGGTAAGGTATGTGTTGAAGAAAGCGACAGGATCTTATAAAGACGAGTTCTCATAGACAGTGTTTCACCATGCGGGACGCTAAATATACAAATTCCAGTTGAAGTTCAAATAGACCAGCAACAAAAGAAGCATCCCTTCAGCACATCTTCAACGTGTCGTTAACCCACAATAGTTTTCGATGATATGCTTGGTCATTTATGGGAGCCAAATCGGAAAGCACAAATCATGTCGCAGTCAACTAATCAAAGTGATAATATGGTGAATGCAGATGTCATCAAGGCAGTGCATTCAAATTACATGCTTGTGTAAAGCGTATAGTGACCTGGACGTTCATTGTCAATTTTTATTCCGCTCAAACTCAAAAGTGGACGTATTATACAGAAGTAGTAGGCTTATTATATTTCCAATGTTTAGCAGTCGTAGTACTAAGCTGTTTATAGCGCAACGTTTATTTGAAGGGGTTCAGAACTGTTTCCTCGTCTTTCTGATGTGGTAATCTTCGACACTGCATTCACTTATCGTTCTAACACTGAGCTGTACACAAAACCATGATAAGCGTGGCGCTGATAACAGTTACTGGGTTCTATCCTGAATCAGGACGGAGCGTCACTATTTCGGAAAAAGTCCTAAGTGAATCTCGTTGATTCGCTGAGAGATTCGCCTTTCATGTGTCGAAGTGCCATAAGGTTACGCGAAAAGCGCTTCATTTCAGCCACAAATGAAGTGGAACATTTCACATAATAGATGATACAGTAAACCTTGTAGCAAATACATAATAGTTTTCAAGCCAGCCCCAACCAGCGATACAACTAATACGGGGTAACCAAGTCAAGTAATATGTATCTATGCTGTGGGTGTTCGTCAGCTGAGTGATTCAATATTATTCTTGCAGTCATAACTGGATCTCAATCGGCTAATTTAATTATCCAATTAGAATGGCAGTACATGTTAGGAAGCAAATTCGCCTAGGTGTATGAATTAGTTCAGAGCACAGCAACCGAATGTCGCTTTGTCCAATTGCGGAAACATAAAAATGAATATGTAAAGCGAAGTTGGAACATGTAGCTCGTCTCGTCTCGATAGCACTAACTTTTGTCGATGACATAAATGGCGAGAAAAAAGCTCAAATGAATACCGCGAGAAGAACAACCAGAGGAAATGCGCCAAGATGTGTGTGAATTCAATTGATGCGACGTATAAAATGAGTTTGTATTTTTGAACAAGGGATGTTGGACAGGGCTTAGACTGCTTTTCATTCATGGAGGTCCGCTATGACACTTCTTGTGTTACTTACCTTTTAGTCAGAGTTCACAGCTAAAGCAGTGTGTATGCAACTCAACACATCCAATCAAACGAAGTGAATCACTATGCTAATTTCGCGTTGTCCTAGTGCGGGTGCTTCGATTTTAGTCTTACGAGTCTACGGTATCCTGGTTATTCCAGTTACAATGTTGCTGAATGCTTGATGTGTAGATACATACTAAGCGAAAAATTGAAAAACGTGCTGGTACTGTTCTTTCAGCTCAAGGTAGATATCTCGACACAGGGTTTTAGTTGGAAACTTTTTGAACCGAGGGCACTCCACGTCCGCTCCGATGTTAACTTATTCACCTGGTCGTGAATGAATGAAATGCGTTACCAGTGACAAATCAGAGAAATGTTTCAAGCAGCAGTTGGATAACCACTAACTGAGTACGATCGGATTCCGCTGTTGCTTTTTGCAGTATTTGTAATGATTCCTCAGGGAACACAGTTTAGTAATGACATGCATAATCCAGCCAATGTATGCGAGGGGGGTGGAGCTGACACGGGTTTCACCTTCAAGTTTCGACAAGTGCAAGCACCTAGGAAACTGTAGCTCACCTTTATCCCTAAGTGATATAACAGGTTTGATTGTTTGCGATGCGGGTGTCCACGGACTGAATTCTGTTTCGACCTTTCGGAAATCGTCAGCCGTGTGGACTGTGAACTTAATCGGTGTAGAAACGCTGCCCAACTAAGTGGTAACTGAGCGCATAGGTTGCATAAAATCACTAAATATATGTCATACATATACACATGAGAGGGAAAAGTTTTACTCTTTGCATAGATGTGTTTTACTGTATTATTGTGTATAGCTAGATACATGTGTTCATCACCATATCTGTCGATGATACCGCAGTCAATTGTCATACCTTTCAGCCACCAAAATCGAATTGTATCTGAAACATTGTATCTGAAACATAGTTGACTGAAGGTATGTTCTTCATTATACAGCTGGT